AGAATGCAGAGGGAAGAAGGGCAGAGAGCCTCGGGGAAGTGAAGGGGAGGCACCTCAGGTTGGGGCCGATTTCCCAGTCAGAGTGCTCGGCCTAGCTAACAGCAGCCAAGTGTTGCTGAAAGAGTGGAACAGTGACCCGAGGGTGCCATCCAAATCCCCTCTCCCCGATCTCAAAGTCCATGTCTGAAAAAGTCCTAGAGGCCACAGGCACTGGGAGAGCATCATGGTGTGTGTGTGTGTGTGTGTGTGTGTGTGTGTGTGTGTGTGTGTGTGTGCATGCGTGTGTGTAAAAGCATGCCTGGCAAAGTTAGACGAGAAGACTGAATCTTAGTTCTTTTTTTCCCTCCCTTTTTATTATTTCTTTGAGAATTTCCAGTAAAGTACTTTATCACTTTCACCCTCTTCCTGGTCAGCCTTTTGTCACCTAGACACAAGCTAGAGGTACCAGGGAAGAGAAGCCTCGATCGAGAAATCTCTCTCTCTCTCTTTCAAAGCAGGTTCTCACTATGCAGCCCTGGTTGGCATGGGACTGGCTATGTAGACTAGGTTGCCCCCAAACTCACAAATATTCTCTGGAATGCTGGAACTAAAGGTGTGGGTCGTCTCGCCCTGCCTTGTTGGGCATTTTCTTGATTAGTGATTGGTGTGGGAGGTCCTAGGCCACTGGGACAGTGCTGCCCTTCGGCAGTTGGTACTGGGTTGTACAAGAAAATGGGGCTGAGCAGGGCAGTGGTGCTGCATACACTTAATCCCAGCACTCTGGAGGCAGAGGCAGGCAGATCACTGAGTTCAAGGCCAAAGTGGTCTACAGAGTGAGTTCCAGGACAGCCAGGTCTACACAGAGAAGCCCAGTCTCAAAAAACAAAACCAAAAGACAAGCAAACAACCAAACCAAAGAAAATGGGGCTGAGCAAGCCATGGAGAATAAGAGGATAAGCAGCATCCCTCCATGACCTCTGATTCCAGGTTACTGCCTTGAGTTCCTGCCTTGGTTTCCCCTGATGATGGACTGTATGTGACCCACAGCCATACAAACTCTTTCCATCACAAGTTACTTTTGGTCATTGCCTTAGCAACTTTCTATTGTTGTGACAAAACATCGTGATCAAGACAACTTATAGAAGAAAGCATTTGATTGGGGGCTGGTTTACAGTTCAGAGGGTGAGTCCACCATGGCAGGGGGCATGGCAGCAGGCTGACAGGCATGGTGCTGGAGCAGTAGCCGAGAGCTTACATGTTAAGATAACAAACACAAGGCAGAGAGAGAGAGGTCAAGATGGAGACTGAGAGCGAGGGAGAGGGAGAGGGAGAGAAAGAGAGAGCACTCACTGGGAGTGGTGTGTGGGCTTTTGAAATCTCAAAGCCCAACCCTAGTGACACACCCCTTCCAACGAAGCCACATCTCCTAACACTCCCCAAACAGTTCCAGCAACTGTGGACCAAGCATTCAAATGTGTGAGCTTATGGGACCGTTTCCATTCCAGTCACCCAAGTCATGGCATTTATTACAGCAGCAGCAAACATGATAATTCTCTTCCCCACTCCTCCCAGGTCTACCCTGCCTTCTCTACGCACCCACCTTTGTGTTCTCCTAGAATTTTTAATCTACCAATCTATTTTTTCTGCTCATATACCCTTGGGTGTGCAGCCTTTCACAGCAGCATGGCTAACTTACTAGGCCTGAACCCTTCAGGAAAACCCACTCTCCCTCTCCCAGCACCTATCAATTGCCAATGGTTCCTTGGCTGGGGGCGGGACTTTGTGCCCATCTCCCTTCTCCATGCTGGGATGTGGTCTAGCCTGAGCTTGTGCAGATGCTGTCACTGTTACGATTGCTGTGCTACGAGTCTACACGTGTGAGCAGGGGCTGTGTCTGGAAAACAACTTCCCTGTAGTCACCCGCCATGTCTGCCTCTTGCATTCCTTCTCTCTCCTCTTCTGCAGTGGTCTGTGAGCCCTGGAGGAAGAGGATGTGGTACAGATGTTCCAAATGCAAAGGAACTTGTCCCAAAAATGACACATGCTGCCAAAACACAGCCAGTTTAGAGAGCTGGTTTAGGAGGCTTCACCACAAACTGCCTTTGTTTTCCCAACCCTGGTTTGACTGTGAAGGTAAAATTCTCCTCTCTGTCCTTAGCACTGGG